GCACAGGCATTTAGTGCAGCAGTTAAGTTGTTGCTTGGAATACCCACATCCCACATCAGAGTGCCTTATTCAAGTGCCAGTAACTCTACTTCCAATCCAACATTCTGTTAATGCACACTCTATTGGGCAACAAATATTGACCCATGTAATTGGGTTCCAGCCACTCATGTGGAATATCTGGATGAAGTTCCAGGCCCTGTATCCATCCTGGCCTAGCCCTCATTGCTGCAGTTGTTGGGGGGTATAAAACAGTGGATAGAAAATCCCCTCATTCTCTCTTTCTCTCTCTCTCTCTCTCTCTCTTTTCTTTCAAGTAAATAAAAAATATGAAAATTCTTAAATGTTTAATATAAAAAGTGTGATAAACTAAAATCTGAAAAATTCAAAATAAGTCGGAAGTTGAACATTAAAAAAGATAAATATGTATTATGAAGAAATCATACCTGGATTTCAAGCTTTTGGAACCAAAATAAAACTTTTAATTTTTTAAAGCTTATTTATTCACATTTATTTATTTGGAAGACAAAGCAACAGAGACAGAAAGAGAGATTTTTCATCTGGTGGTTCACCCTATAAATGCTGGCAACAGCCAAGGATAGGCCAAGCCAAAGCTAGGAACAAGAATGCCATCTAGGTCTCCTATGTGGGTGGTAAGGATCCAAGTTCTTGAGCCATTAACTGCTGCTTCTCATGTTGTTTATTAGTAGGAAGCTGGATCTGAAGTGGAGGAAGGACCGAATCCCAGGCACTCTCCAACCAATATGGGATGTGGGTATCCCAAGCACCAGCTTATTCCACTGTACCACAATGCACATAATTAAAACTTACTGTTTAATTCTGTTTTACACACATAAACACAAACACACACGAGTTAAGAGTGGAAAATTATCTTAGCAGTGAGGACACTTAGCTTGGGGTACCCATGTCCCATGTTTGGAAAACCCAAATTGAGTCCCGGTTCGGGATCCTGATTCCAATTTCCTGCTAATGTGCACCCCAGGGCAGCAAGTGATGACTCAAGTATTGGGACCTTGTTAGGCATGTGGGCGATTTGGAATGAGGTCCCTGCCCAGTCTTGGCCTACCCCAGACCTTACCATTATTGCCATTTGTGGAGTGAGCCAGCAGATGGAAGTATTCGTTCTCTCTCTCTCTCTCTCTCTCTCTTCCCCCTCTTCCCCAACTCCGTTAAAAAGAGAGGCAGATATGGGATCCCTTCTTCCTCACAGAAGCCTAAACAGGGTATTACATTGAAGGTATTCTGCATGTTTTGCTATGACTCAATTTTCTCAGTTTAATGGCTGCATTATTTTCTAACTTTAGTTTACCAGCGAAAAACTCAAGAAAAGACACCGTTGGTGGTATCTCTCCCTTGCTTAGGATTCTTTTAAGGGGCCCTATTGAATATAGATTAAAATTCTAATCCTTGGGTCTTTCCAAGATCTCCAGCTTCAGCTTTCACTGCGTTTCCTTTGATTCAGTGTGATCTAGCCATTGTCTCAGCTCTTTTGCTCTACTCCAGTATGAAATGTGCCTTCATACTTCATTAAATTTTTTTCTAAATATTTATTTATTTGAGAGACTGAGAGTGAAAGCTCCTGTTCAAGGTTCACTCCCCAATGACTGCAACAGCCAGGCTGGGCCAGGCTGAAGCTGGGAGCTGAGAACTCAATCTCTGTTTCCCACGTGGGTGGTAGGGGCCCATCTGTCTGAACAATCATCCCCTGTTGCTTCCAGCTTTCACATTTGAAGGAAGCTTGAATCAACAAACAGGAGAGCAAAAGAGGGGAAAGGAGGGGGAAAGAGAGGGAAGGAGAGGGGAAGAAAGGGGAGGAGAGGGGAGGAGAGGAAAGGGAAGAGGGGCCCGGCCGGCGCTGTGGTTCAGTGGGTTAAAGCCCTGGCCGGCAGTACCAGCATCCCATATGGGTGCTGGCTGCTCCACTTCTAATCCAGCTCCCTTCTAATGCACCTGGGAAAGCAGCAGGGGATGGCCCAAGTCCTTGGGCTCCTGCACCCTTGTCAGAGACCTGGAAGAAGGTCCTGGCTCCTGGCTTCAAATTGGCTCAGCTCCGGCCATTGCAGCCATTTGGGGAGTAAACCAGCAGATAGAAGACCCCCCCCCCCCGTCTCTACTTCTTTCTGTATCTCTGTCTTTCAAATAAATAAAAATATATCTTAAAAGAATTATCTGTGTATATCAGTACTACTGCAAATATAGTTTTGTCAAACTTTGTTTTTATACCTTTGTCAAACCAATAATTAAGGTTACACTACTATAGTTTCAAGAATCTGTGAGTACTTTAAAATTTGCTATATATAGATGAAATGGCCATTTTTCCATTTCATATTTTATAATTTTTGCCTATATTTCCACTAAACTAAGGTCTTTGTACTTCTTATTCGTTGAGCTCTTTTTTGGTGGAGCATTAAGCCATTGATTGTGATGTATATAAAAATATGTTAAATCAAAAACAAGAGAGAAAGAAGGAAGGAAGGAAAGAAGGAAGGGAGGGAGGGAGGGAGGGAGGGAGGAAGGAAGGGAGAAGTAGGAAAGTAGAGAATATCATTATATTCTTAGAATTGTATCAATGAACTAAATTGAATTAGTTCCCTTTGTATTAATATTGCATTAATTTTAAAAAGTATCAGAGGATGAAAAAGACAACTATAGTTTTACTAATAATATTTTAAATATTTATTTATATATGTATTTATTTGAAAGAGTTACAAAGAAAGAGCGGGAGACAGAGAAAGAGATCTTCTATCTGCTGGTTCACTCCCCAGATGACAACAGCCAGAACTGAACCAGGTCAAAGCCAGGAGTCAGGAGCTTCTTGTGGACCTCCCACTTGGGTGGCCGGGCCCTAGACACTGGACCATCCTCTGCTGCTTTTCCCAGGTCATTTAGCTGGGAGCTGAATCAGAAGTGGAGCAGCCAGGACTTGAACTTGTGCCCATATGGGATGCCAGCATTTGAGGAGCCAGCCTTACCCACCATGCCACAATGCCATCCCCAGTAGCAACTTTTTTTTTAAACATACTTTGTTATATTGCCTCCCTAATTTTTAAAGATTTATATATTTATATGATTACTTATTTATTTAAATGGGAGACAGTTCTTCTATTCACTGGTTCACTTCCCAAATGAGCAAAACAGCAAGGGCTGGGACAAGTTGAAATCAGGAGCTATGATCTCCACCCAGGTCTGTCATGTGGGTGTCAGGGATCCAAGTACATGGACCATCACTACTTTCCCAAGGAGAATTAGCAGGTTAGATTAGAAACACAGCAGCCAGGACTAGAACCCATACTCCCATAGGGGATGTGGATGTCCAAAGCAGCAGCTTGACTTGCTATGTCACAATGCTGTTTTCTGGTTCCACAATTTGATCCTTGCTACAAAAGAAGGAATTCACATATTAGCAAATATCTCTTTTTGGATAGGGCCGGCACTGTGATGTAGCGAGCTAACTCTCTGCCCTTGTGGTGCCAGCATCCCATATGGGTACTGATTCTAGTCCTGGCTGTTCCCGTTCTGATCGAGCTCTCTGCAATGGCATGGGAAAGCAGAAGATGGCCCAAGTGCTTGGGCCCCTGTACCCACACAGGGGACCCAAAAGAAGCTTATGATCCTGGCCTCAGATCAGCCCAGTTCTGATGGAAGACCTTTCTCTGTCTCTCCTTCTTTCTGTAACTCTACCTCTCAAATAAATAAAATCTTTTTTAAAAAATCTCTTTTTGGATGAAGTTTCAGTGAATCTATGAATATTAAATGTTGAAAACTACGGAAATTAATAGACTCCTCACATTCTTCCAAATTTATTTTGCTTTTCTATATTTGATATGCAGAGATACTTAGAGAAAGAGAGAGAGAAACAAAGAAACTGTCCATCTACTAGTTTACCACCCAAATGCCTACAACAGATTGGTGGAGCCAGTCTGAACTCAGTAGCCCATAACTCAATCCAGGTCTCCTACACGGGTGGCAGAGCCCTTGAGCCATCCATGCTGCTTCCCAGGCCACATGTTAGCAGTAAGATGGAAAGAGATTGGGGACTCAAGCCCAAGAACAGTGACATGAGATGTCAGTGTTCAAAGCTGCCTCTCTAAACACTTGCCCTTGAAATTTCTTTTCAAACTGCTTTATTATAGCATAAATAGTCCAATAAATTCATCTTTTATTTTTGGCTAAAAATATTTTTTCTCAAGGTCTATATTACATAAACTTTTTAAAAATAGGAGCAATATTATAATAAAATATACATTAGAAAATGTAACTATCCTTCCCAATGCTTATGGAATTATATACCTGGGTACTTGGATTCAAAATGTTTGTTCTTTCTCCAGTAGTCATTGAAATTTAGTATCATTTACCTCTTCACATATAAGTAGAATTGTATCATTTCAAGAACAAAAATCACATGTTGAATCCAGGTGAGTTTGTTTGATTTTGTTTCAGAGTATTATAAATCCCACTATCCATTGAGATTTTAAGAAATGAATTCTAGTAACTTATGAAACCTCTTTAACAAACATTACAGAGTAAATGTTTTAGATCCAAAGGATTTGAGATCAGTGGACTTTAAAAAAGGAGGTGAATGCTCTGTTATACAATGCAATGCAGGTGATCTTAGTGAATTTGGAGTGACACTACCCATGAGCTAATGACACAGCATACATGCTTTTTTCTAGTCAGCCTGATTTTTTTTTTATTTTTTCCCCTTTTTCTGCTTCACTCTCCCAAGGACGAACTTTATAGCAGTGTTGCCCATGCCAAGGCTCACCACAGTCAATCATTCAGGACTTTGCTAGCGTGCACTCCCTAGCAGTGAACACAAAGTGTCACTGTGACTACATGCTAATAGTCCAAGACTCAAAACAACTTTGCCCAAATTGTGAATTCACTTACTTGCAAGTTGTGTGTTTTATTCGAAGTGTTTAGGATTCATTATTTTTAATTTAATGTGGGCAAGATTTGAATTTGAATTATTTTTATTTCAGGATTTCCTATACTCTAAAGTGGTAATTCTTTGTTATATCATACAAGAACGCCAGAAAACAAAAGGACAATAATCCTGAATACTTCAGTTTTCACGTCTGATCATCTGTGAGTTAATGTGCATTGAAGACAAAAATTCGTTTGTGAATGTTGATAATGACCTTACTACACACGTCTCTGGACCATAACACACACCATGTGTTTTAACATTGTGCTAGAAAAAGGTGTTCTTAGAACAGAAAAAAGAATGCAAATTCTTAAATATATACAAAAGGCAAATACCTATATCAAATGATAACCGAGGCTTTGGAAACCTATCATCTTTTTTCTTAAAACCTTGTTGTATGTTAAATATCTTCTATCAAGTAGCAGCTGCTTCTGAATGCATTTTCCAGTAGTAAACAGAAAGACTTCTTTTGTTTTATTTCTTCTTTAACATAATACGACTTTTGCTGTGTTTCTAGATAGATACATTTCTGAAGTGAGCATCTGTAAGTGGTGGTATCCCTTTCAGACTCACAACAAGTATTTAAAAATCTACTAAAGGTATCCAGTTTATTAAACACACAAATTATTTTGACGATGGATTAATATTTTTCCCTCAAAAACATAAAAGCTACTTTTCAGTTCTGTATTTATAAAGAAAAACTGCAAAGATTTCATTGTGAACATTTATTTATTTATTTATTGACTATTTAAAGGTTTGTACAGCAGGGTCACAGAGACAGAGACACAGAGACAGACAGACAAATCTCTCTGTTGGGTCACTCCTTCAAATGTCAATGGTCAAAGGCTGAGCCAGGTTGAAGTCAGGATCCAGGAATCCAATGTGGGTGTCCCATGTGGGCGGCAGTGATTCTTCTACTTGAATCATCATCTGCTGTCTCCCAGTATGCACATCAGCAGGATGCTGAAATCAGGAGTGGATCCAAGACTCAAACTCAGGTACTCCCACATGATCCCAGTTGGCATCTTAACTGCTAGACCACACAGTCACTCCTGAACTCATATTTTCATACTTCATTTGTTGTGACAAATCACGTGCAAAGCAATATTTCTTCCTGTAATGTTTTATATTACTTCTTCATTTATTTTTGTGATAGTGTTCCCTTAAACCAGCCCCCTTAAGTAATTTTTCCAGTCTTTTTACTACACCTTTCTATATTAGTAACATTTCCCATGATTATTTTAATATACTATTTTATGGATTCTTTCTGAGCTGTTAGGTAACAGAAGTATAATAATGTTTTGGATTCATTTTCTTTTCTTTATCTTTTATTTAATAAATATTCATTTTCATCTGCTAGTCAGCAATGTGCTTTTGTAAAAAAAAAAATAATACTACTTAATAAACTTCTAATGAAACTTAGCCCAACTCTATACCTTTGTATCTCTGAGAAGATGATTTATCTTGGTTTATTTACATTTTTAAAAAGGTTCTTCTATAAAGAACACTATAAAAGTATTTTAAAATAATGAGTGAGTTTTAAAAACACCTGTTGTCATTATCATTGACATCAAACTTAAAATCTTTTGTAATGTAATTGAAAGAAAACAGATAATTTTTAGCATAGTGTGCCAGAGAAGCTCTTTTTAGACCTTATGTATAGTTTAAGAATCTCTATTTTAAGCTTAATTTGACTTCAAAAACCATATGTGAGTTGTTAATGTGCTTTTGTTATCAGGATTTATAGAGATTCTTGCTATTGTTTTAACTATGAATTTCTCATATACATGGAATCTCAGAATTTAGATACTTTAATTTGGGGATTGGAACTTTGAGTCTTGTGACAATGATATGTAGCCTCATTGCTTTATCCTGTAAACATTCATTAATTATTTTCATGTGCAAAATGCTTTGCTAAGTCCTACAAACAAAATTCAAGGAATTTTCATAAGCATAATTGAAAGAAGAAGCAACAATAAAAAAGAGCCACTATAGGTACTGTGGTAGTATGGGAGGGTAAGGATATGAGAGTATGGTTGCATCCAACATATCTTGAGTATTTCTTCAGATTCCACCTCATTTGTCTGCCTGACCTTGGACAGATGCTCACCTCAGGCAACATAGCACCTGCAGACTGTGGGCTCACAGTTTCTGGTGCTTGGGGGTAGTTTTGTATGCCCAGCCTTAAGCCTTTGGCTCATTCAACCAAGTGTGTACTGAATGAAACCCTACACTCAGTGATTTCCAAGTGGAACAAGTGCTGCGATCCACAAATACAGGGAAGTTGACAATTCATGGGGCAAATAGGCCAGTGAGAGTCAGGGCTAGTGAGAATACTCCAGTAGATAACTGTCTCCTGGTGGAATGTTCTGAGTCATGGCTTTTCATGCATCCTGTCTGGAACCAACCTAAGGCAGTTTTTGGCTAGCATAGTAACTCTTCACCAATTTCCATCATTGAGTGACCCACTCTTTTATTCTTCACTGTCACAGATTTAGGATCTCTTATTTCTGTGAAGCATTGATAATTTAGCCTTGCCCCCATCTCTGCTATATAAGGTAATTAGGCTTAGATAATTGTGAATTTTATTTGCATTGGTGAGAATGGAAGGTATTGGTAAACAAAGATACAAAGAAGGTGAGGGCTACATAAAATATGTTGTGGACTTTTTTATACTTATCTAAGGTCTCAGAAAGTCTTTCACAAAAAAAATTATAAATTACAACTTTGGTTAGGAGAGACAGAAAATCTAAATGCAAGCAAATAGAATAAGTCCATTAGTTTAACACTACAGAGGTGTCTCCACTCCACACTAAGCTAAATTACACCTAAATCCCCATCTGGAAGCATAGCCAATGATCTCCAACCCTTTTGTCTATATTATTTATCACCTCTTGATGATACTATCGACACTAATCTCTCATCAGATTCTATAGCTTAACTTTTAATCTGAATTTAGTTCTAGCATCACATTCAAAGATTATTAACACAGTTTAATTAATTCTGAAAGCACAACACAATAAATTCACAGTTGCCCATATTTCTGAATTTCCTGGCTTTTCAACTGTTTTCTCCTTGTATATACCCTAAACATTTTTGCTGGCCAATGACCGTTCCAATTGTATCCTTTGATTTCTCTAATTGTTCAGAATTTCCCCTGAACTTCTTACTCCTCATATAAATCCAAATCATTTACATGAATTTTTAAGTTTGTTCCTCCCTTTCGCTTGTATTTCAAGTATTATATCTGCTTTTATTGTATTGGTTCCCTTATTCATACTGGAGCAAGCTCTCTATTCTTTGCCATCAAGGCTCTCCCTTCACCTCACTCAACAAGCCTTCCTTCTTCAAGAAAGGATACAAACAAGAACAAAAAATTTCAACCCCCTTAGTAAGCCTTCCTACATCAAAACCAGCACCAACAAGACATCCAACTCCCCAAGGAGAACACAACAATCACTTCAATTCCAACATTCTTTTTTAAGAATATACTAATCCATAGAAGAGAAGTGTGTCTGGCTCCAAATATGAATTCAGAATTAAAAATTTTGTAATGTACGAAGAGGTCTCATTTCTAGAAAAAGTAAGTCCAATGATCAAAGCAACAGTTTACTCTTTGTTTTTCCAGATACAATTTTTGTTTTAGCTCTGAGTAGCCATATAATTTGTTATGTGAGCAAATAAATTTTGAGATTGACAAAGACTTGAAATAGCAAGTATAAGTTAGGAATGAGTGCTTTAAAGAAGCAGTGTCTGGTCACTTTATTTTTGGCAGTCTATGAATAACATTATGAGACTTCATCTTAAATGATGAGAGCTCATGAAATTATTACTTGAAATGCTTGTAATTTTTTCTTCACAGACTAATTGCTTTAAAATTTAAAACAAAAAACACTGAGGACATGCATATGAAACCTGAACATTGTACTTGAGAGTGAAGATACTGTTTTTGTTTGCAGGCTCTGTTTTCAGTAGGAACTTAGGCAAGTCATAAATCTCAAATTTTTCATCTGTAGAATGAGAACACAAATATAATACCTACCTTGTAGTATTCTGATGTTTAATGAGTTAAAGTACTTAAAACAGTTCCTGACATATTGTACTATATAAGTTCTAGCTAATAGCAGTAGTAGCTATTATTTCACTTGAAGTGGGGCCCAGAGAAAGGGTCCCTCCAGGGTTTTTGGGTATGAATATTTCCATGAGAACGGCTGAGGAGATGAACAACCAGTCTCCCATGACTCTTTACTTTTACATATGACAATGAATGTCAAAGATCAACTTATGAATTCCTTATAGTATCTAAGGCAAAAAAATAAATAAGGGATGCGACAGAGTTGGTGATCTGGAAAGAAATTTATTGTCTCCCTCTTTTAAGGGAAGGCGGAAGAAGAACAGCTATTTTCTTTCACTGTATTTATGGGGGAGTTCCAAGAAAATAATTTAAAAACAAGAAAGAGAAACTGTAGGCCTGAGAGAAGAAAAACTGATGCCTGGGGGAGAAAATGAGATACAAAGAGACACTGAGACATGAAAAGTCCAGCTAGCAAGGCTACTCTCCTCGGGTTAAAATCAAACAGGTATGCCTTTGCTGCTAGGAATGCTCTAATTTCTCTCTTGCTGAGCAGTTAGGTAGGCTCAGAAGTGGTGAATTTCTTCTGTTCTCAGCCCTTTTATGGCCATAATGAACTGTCAGCACCACCAGGGAACCCGGCTCCTTCAACTTTCACAAGGCTGACCTTGAAAGGTTATCACCATCTGTCCAGGGAGCAAGTTGCTCCCAGAGCTCTGGGGAGGGCCTAGGCTTGCTGGCAGTGGTAAGCCAACTACAAACTACAGAGGACACTTTCAGAAACCCCACACATCACTCCTATGGGAGTCCAGGCTTGCATTTTCATCATAATAGACATCAATCTAGGAGAAACAGATCACTGCATAGAAAGCAAAAACAATATAGGGCCACAAATAATTGTGATGAAACATAACTACACTAGATGACTCCATGAAGCTAGAGGAAGAGCTAAGCTGCTGACTTCTGTACGTTCTTCACTAGTCTCTTGTCATCATGCTGAGCTTATTAACTTTCACAACCAAATTTACCATTCAATTTTTTCTTCATCCATATCCTGCGGGTCCAGGAGAAGGAGAATTAAAGATTCACCTGCTCCCTATCACTTTCCAAAAAGGTCTAAAATGTCCTAGTCTAGGCAGTGGGGAACCAGCAGACTCATACTGCTGTCTGTGTTGACTAACATTTATTGTGAGGATTCATAATTGATTAGGCATCAGTACATATTTCTTGAAAGTTGAAGAAATTAAGGTAAAGGTACAGCAAAATTATTTGGAATAGTCACATCTTTAAAAATATATGATATTTGAATTTTAAAGTGTTCAAAAAAGATGGACCTCAACTCAGTCAATTACTGAGAATGCTGTCTTTATGACATAATAGTGTGAATTGTGGGTCATAGGTGCCGCATGGGCCCTCTTGAGCTTTGGTTCATCTCTCTATTGTCCGAAGAAGGCAACAAAGGATCCTAGAGTTTAGTTCTCAGTCTCACACACAGAAGACAAGACAAAGGTCTCCAGACCAGTGCTCCTATAAAGGATAGTATTACATTAAAAATGATTTTTGAAAAACCAGAGAACATTTGCTTCCTTATTGCAATAAAATTAATCATACAGTTAAAGAATACACATCAAAGAAAAGGAACTAAATGGGAATGGGGAACAAAGAGGACTGGATGACAAATGACGTGGTCTTGCTATCTTCCACCCACTTTTTCCAGGGCCGAGTCCTCTAGCTGCTCCCATCATGGCTTCCATTCTGATTTGAGCCTGTGACACATGATCCAGAATCATTTCTCCTCCTCCTCTTCTCCAGTAGCCAAGCTATCATTACTCTCAGGACTATAGTCTAATTTGGAGAATGACTCAA